AGAAAGAGGAATGACATACAGAAATGCGAGCTTTGCCACTTTGGCCCAGAGAGGCCTCTGATTCGACCACACGGAGGGATGTCTTTTTCTGACTTGTGGGGTAAAACTCATCGTGTAGGACTGCAGAATCAGAGATAAGTTTGTTCTTTGAGCTAAACTGATGCTTAATTATGTACCTCTATTAAGAACCTGTCTGCCTGCTGTCCCCAGGTAGACAGAGGAAGTCTTTTTACATCTTAAGAGGAAATACTGCTTCCAGGTGCTCATTCGTGGCTGCCAGCGAGATAACTGGGGCTGGAATCGTGAGTCATCCTGGTCTCGTCATTAAGCAGGACTCAAGGCTCTCCACAGGGCAGTGCTGTTGACTAGCATTTGTAATTGATAGATGCTATCATTCTGGGTCATTGCTAATTCTTTGTAATGAATCCAAATGAGTGTGGCTTAATTTAGAGGAAAGTGTGCTAAACTCAGGTCCCGTAGGAACTCTGCTCCAGGCTGACAGCTGGCTGCTCTGGACCAATATGGCCCCTCAGTGGCCTGAGGCAAGAGCTGGGTGGCCCTTGAGGCCCCTCCCTTCCTTGGATGGAGGCTGAGGGGCTGGGTGAACCTGCTGACTCTTTTTTTTCTTTTTTTTTTTCTTTTTTAAACCAGGAATCATTAGCCGAGAAGATGCAGAAGATCTCCTTGAGCACATGACTGAGGGAGCATTTCTGGTCCGGGTCAGTGAGAAAATCTGGGGTTACACCCTCTCCTACCGCCTGCAGAAAGGGTTCAAGCACTTTCTCGTGGATGCCTCTGGGGACTTTTACAGCTTCCTGGGAGTGGACCCCAATCGCCATGCGACGCTCACCGATCTCATCGATTTCCACAAGGTAGCGCTCTTACAGATGCTGGTCAGGGGCATGAAGCTGGTAGAAACTTGAGCTGAAGGGAGAGCCAGGCTGCAGGCCTTCTGGGAGATGGGGCTGGAGAGTGAGCAGGCAGGGCCACAGGGATATGGAACATGGGGTAGAAGAGACCAGAGGTTGTCTAGACCAGGCAATGCTTTTCTTCTCTCTGGCTCACCCTCTGATCCAAGTAGGTTCCCCAGGAGGGTCCCCGGACTTCCTGTCACCTTGAGTACCTGAGTGCTCCCTACTGTCAACACTTAGGGGCCGGTTGACCAGTCTTTTGTCCAAGACCAGTTCTCATCCCCAACTCATTCCCAGTATGTCATCTGGGGGACATTCTAGAAAGGCCTCTTACAACTTTGTAGAGTTAGCTGAAGCCTAGCAAGCAACCCTGTAGTTAGAGAAGTTTGTGTGACCTTGGGAAGCTTCATTGGTCTCACTGAGCTTTAGTTTCCTGCCCAGGAAATGGATGTAAATGATACTTAGCCCAGATCCTATGAGCATTAAATGAAGGAATGTATGTAACGCACTCTAACTGGAAAGTGGTACAGAGGTTCTTGTTTCCCACAACTCCTCTTGTTACTTGTTCCCCTGCCATGGACCCCACATTGAGAAAGGTGTTGCCTTCTAAGTAAGATATGTAGAAAGAAGCACTGCGTTAATGTGGCTGTTGGCCTCAGTAGTAACTGGGAGAAAGACAAAGGTGGAACTCCGTGACTTAGAAGGGTAGGACCCCGGGATTCTGAGAGACAGAGTTGTGGTGCCTCAGGGGCCCACCATCTACCTGACCCTTGCAGGATTAAAGGGTCACAGAATTACTTGACTGTCTCACTGGGCTTTTGCTATAATAGGGACTCTTGGATTCATATTGCTTTTTCTTCATGGATGTCCCCAGTGCTCTAGAGACTACTCTTAACCTGACCTTATAAGGAAAGCACATAGACAGTCACCCCTTTACAAATAACCTAGACACTTGGAGGAGAGTACTGCCTGGAAAACTAGACTACCAGGATCAAGGCAGATTTCTCCTTGTGTTGGGAAGAGCCTTCTAACAAGTGTGGAAAGAGAGCGAGGGCATGTGTGGATACTGGCATCTTCTCTGTGCCAGGCGCTGTGCCTGGTGCTCTGTGTCCGTGTTCTCACTTAGTCTTCACCGTAGCTCTGTGAGGGCGGCAGATCAGTCCCATTTCACAGATCGGGAAATGGAGCTTGAATAGTTTTTCTAAGTTTTCACGGCTGGTACCGGCTGGGTCTAAGAGTCAGGCCTCAGACTGTGGACCTCCAAAGCTTGGGCTTTTCCCACTAAACCACATTACTTGCCTTTCCTGTCCAAGATAAGCTGCTCTGAGCAGTAATGGGCTCTGTGTCCTTGGAAGTATTCAAGCAAAAGGTAAATGTCAGCTCTCAGAGATGCGGTGGACAGGTTCCTGCAGAGGAAGGCTAAGCCAGATGTCCTCGAAGGTGTTTGTTCTCTTCCAAATCAAAGGGTCGAGGCGGCCGATTTAGTTTCTAACACTACAGAGAGAGCTCATCTGCGTCTATGCCCATGTGGAGATCTGGTGGTCAGTTTTATAAGTTAAAATTTTAATTACACAATTAATTTATGATTACATTCTAAGAAAAATCAAATATAAAGCAGAGTGTAAGCATTGTTTATTTCAAAGCCCAGTTTTCACCCTCCACCTCGAATTTTAGTTTGCCATGTACCTATCCATTTCCTGTGCATTAACATAGAAATTTGTGCACATGAAGAAACACATATTTTTTTCCCCCCCACAAAAATTGGATAATCCTTTACCAGTAGCTCATCAATTTGATTTAAAAAAATATATTTTTATTTTAGAGAGAGAGGGAGAGGGAGAGAGAAAGAAATATCAATGTGAGAGAGANAGTATTTCCTGTGCATTAACATAGAAATTTGTGCACATGAAGAAACACATATTTTTTTCCCCCCCACAAAAATTGGATAATCCTTTACCAGTAGCTCATCAATTTGATTTAAAAAAATATATTTTTATTTTAGAGAGAGAGGGAGAGGGAGAGAGAAAGAAATATCAATGTGAGAGAGAAACCTCAATCGGCTGCCTCCTGAATGCCCTCTACTGGGGACTGAGCCTGCAACCGGCATGGGCCCTGACCAGGAATGGAACCCGCAACCTCTCAGTGCACTGGAGGACACCCAACCAACTGAGCCACACCAGCCAGGGCAGCAATTTGACTTTAAACATGCTTAATATATCATAGAATATATTTTGTAAGAGCATGGCCCCTGGAATCAGGCTGCCGAGTTTTAAATCCCAACTTTATTAGTGTGTGTGACTTTGGGTGAGTACTCAAACTCTTGTGCCTTGGTTTCCTTCTCAGTGAGGTGGGTGTAATAATAGCACTCATCTTGTCAGGTCACTGAGAGGTTTCAATGAGATATACCACTGTGCAGTCCTAGAACAACATACCTGACATTTGTGAGTTATCAGGACATTGTTGTTGAGGTATGTCCATGCCAATCCCCGTGCCGCATCCTTGTAAAAATCCCTGGTATTCCATGCATGGATGTATATTACAGTTCAGTTCTCCCTTCTCCTGTTGATGAGCACGGATGTAGCTTCCAGGTTTTCATGATCACAAACAGCGCAGCAGGGACTTGCTCGTATATGTCACTTTGGGCACGTGTGCGAGTATTTCTCTAGGATGGATCCCTCGACTTGGAATTGCTGGTGGAAGACTATGCACATTTTAATTTGAAACTATGTGCCAGATTGCCCTCCAAAAATGTAGTGCCAATTCATGCTCCTGCCAAAACTATACCAGGTTGTTTCCTCACACTGCTGCCAACATTGAGGGTTATCAGTCATTTACATTTTCCCATCAGATGGGCAGACACGGGATCTCACTGTGGTTTAACTTGCATTTCTCTGATTACCACTGATGCTGAGGCTCTTTTCATATGTTTAATGACCACTTGAATTTCTTCTGTGAATTATCTGTTCATATCTTTTATACATTTTTCTTTTTAGATGTCCCTTTTTTCCCCAAGATTTTTTAAATTGATGTTTAGAAAAAGGGAGAGGGAGAGAGAGAGAAACATCGATGTGAGAGCATAACATCGACTGGCGGCCTCCTGCACACCCCACACCAGGGATTGAGCCTGTAACCCTGGCTTGTGCCATGACTGGGAATCGAACCAGCAACCTTTTGGTGCGCAGGATGATGCCCAACCAACTGAGCCACACCGGCCAAGGCTTAGATGTCTCTTTCTTATGGATGTGTCATTTCTTCCTAAATTGCTTTGTAGTTATGTCCATTCTGCTCTTCAGTTCTCCTATTGAGATTTTCCTTGTCATTTAAATGTGCAACCTTTTCAGCTCCAGGTATTCTTTTTAAATAATAGCCCATTCTTGTTTCACAGATGATTTATCTTCTTAGTCTACTGAGGAGATTAATAAACATCTCTTAAAGGCTCTTTCTGTTTGTTTTACAAACTTGATCTTTTCTTGGGAGTCAGTTCTGTTATTGAAGTTGGCATCTTTCTTTCATGGTTATGATTTTCCTTAAATAGTTATAAATTTCAAGCTAAGAGGTGATCTTTCAACTTTGAATTTGTTTATCCATCAGTGGATACAGTTTCTACTTCCCAAATCCAGTCTCTTTATGTTGTCAGGGTTGAAACTGATAGTGAGTAGTTCATCTTTTGGGGATGGGATGTCAGAACTTTGTGGGTCTCTTTGGCACCCCAAGGAAATGTATGCCTCTTCTTGCTTTCTGCCATGCCTGAGATGAAGACCTCTGCTGTCTGGGGGTCCCCAACCTGTCCCAGTGATACTTGCAGTAGGCCCTGTACCACAGTAACTCCTCTGAAAATCTCATCTTGCATATCTTTTGGTTTTCAAGTATTCCTCAACATTTTTGCTTTGTTGATGGCCTTTCTTATTTCCCCATACTTTTATAAATTTATTTATTTTTAAAAGCAGATTTTTCCCCTGTGATTTCTAGAAATTTGAATCAGGAGGAGGTAGATACATAGTCTTAGTTTTTCTATCTTGAACTGGTTTCTCTTTGGTGGGTGCTCATTTCCCTTTCTTGGTTATAAGTGAACATTTCTATTATTTTTAGGAGGAAATTATCACTGTTTCAGGGGGAGAGTTGCTTCAGGAACCCTGTGGACAGAGGGACAGCCCACCAGACTACCATCTGTTGTTTGAATGACACCCACCCCCCTTATCTATTGGACTCCTTTGGGCATCTTGTTTTTGAACCCAAGAACTCCTCAGCTCAAATCCTTATGGCCTTCTGGAAGATTCACCACGGTCCAGAGGATGAAGTAAATTGGAATGTCTGCAGAGTTATGAAATATATGTCATATGTGCTGCTGGTCCCTGTCCCAATGTCCAGGACAGACATTGCTAGTAGTTGATACAGATCTTTCATGAAGAGTTTGGATACGACCTCAGAAGATGAAGCCTATTTGTCGTGGCTGCTCTAAACTCACTCCTAGAGCCCATGGATCATGTTTTTATAATCCAAAATAATTCCAGTGCCGAACTCTGAATTTAACATATGGTGTCCATTCAATAAATGTTGGTTGAATGAATGCGCTTCTTCTAAAAGTTTTCAGCACTAATCCACGATTTCTAGTAAGTTATTTCCTACGTGTCTCTGTTAATAAAGCCATAGAGATGATAAAAGTGCTGTAATGGGTTTATGTGGGAAACGTAGGTGCTGTGTCTTTAATAATGTTCATTATCACCCTCATTGACATTACTGTGGAATTACCAAGGTCTCTGAGCCCAGCCTCGAGAACAGTGACTGATGCTTCCCTGCCTTCCTGAAAGGCCTCTTCTTCTGCCACCCCTCCGCTGTCTGAAATCATGTATCTTGGTCCTCAGTTTGCAATATTGAGGCAATGGCTTTATGTATTCCTACAGATGTGCCCCACAGCTAGGGTGATCATAATTTAAGAATGGTTTGTAGACATCTGACAAGTCCTTTGCTCCCTAGGATTTGGCCCTTCCCATGCACGTTACTCAAAGGATTACCTCTGCCTTCATAGTCCTTTGAGTTTTGCTTCTACTGTTCACTTAATTTGAGTATGATCTTCCTATTAAGAAGACTCTCCCAGTAACGTCTCAACAACTCTTAGGGTTGGTGTCTCATGTTTCACGCTTATGGACATGTACATAGAGGCAGCATTGTATTTGTGAGAGTAAGAAGATGAGTGGATGCTGTGGGTGTCAATGACTTGGTTTTCCCTACTTGATAGGCATCAGCCATCCCTTATGCTCTACTTCGCCGCTTGCCTCATTTGTCCTTCATGTCCTTGACCCCTTTCTTGTTTCACCCCAGTCGCCACCACTGCAACCAGTTTCGCAAGGGCTCTGCCCTTCCCGGCTGTGTCTGCGGTGCCCTGGGCCTCTCACCTCCTGTCGCTGCAGAGGCATAGGACACCATGCAACCGACAGGAGCCGGGGCGCGAACTCCCCACGCGATGGACCTTTTATCAATGGGAAACGGTGGCGGATAAGTCAATTCTCCTCCCCTTCTCCTCCCGGAGGGGGTTTTCTGAGAGGCAGTTCTTAGCGTGGCCTCTCCAAAGACAGTCCTGATGAAACCAAGCGCTGGCCAGATCAGTGTCCCCCCCTCCTGTTTGTTCTTCCCCCTTCTCGGCCTCAGTCCCCTCCTCCTCCTGCTCCCCTGGGATTGCTGTCCTGAGTGAGCGGGGGCAGGCGAGCTCTTAGCGTAGGCTCTGCCTGCTGGGGAGCCAGGCTAAGGGCCCATCACATAAATGTATAATCGCACCGCTTTTGCAGTCTGTCTCCATGGCTTCTCTCCGATCGGCCTGTCTCCCAGGCTCCTGAATGGATAAAATGCAGCGGTGGAAAGAACCTGCTTTCTGAGCTCTCAAGTGCTTTAAAACCATAGCTGATATTATTAAAACTACCTTCTTTCTGCTGGACCCGGAGGAAAGGAGTTTTAGCTTTGGCTGGGCTACTCACCCACAGCCTGACTGTGCTTCAAGTCGTTTAAACCGTTTAACCACACTGGAGCTCAGGAGAACTGAGAAGAGAGTGTTCTGTGTGGCCCCCGCTAAGTTTTTTGGCAGATGAGTTCAATGATCAGTATGAAATCTCTGTCCAAGTGGAAGGTATTGCCAGATCAACCTCAACAACAGCGACCATCATTCATGCTCAGCAGCGAGGTGTCAAAGGGATAGGATGTGCTGATTTTTCAGGTTTTTGAAGAAAGCTTTAGTTCTAAGAAATAGCAGCAGCTTTGAAAGCAGACCAAGCTGAGTTGAGAACCCGAATCCCCGAGCTGTTGTTTCTGTCACCCTAATTAATACATGAGAGACAACAGCTGAGGTGTTCATGCCCAACACATTCGTTTCATTTTATTTGGGGCCTGCACTTCCTGCATTCTCATATATTTGAGGTTTTGCCTGGCCTTAAAAGAAATTCCTTGTAAGTTGTCCTGCAAATGAAATTACTGCCTGGAAAACTGCAATTTCGTCTTGAGAATTTTAGTATGATAATAAATGTCAGGATTCTCAAATAAAGGAATTGCCTTTTTCCCCCTGAGCCCTACAAATATAATAAAAAACAGCCAGCTACAGGACTTAGCAGAGGGAACATTTACAGTCTGTACCTAGAATGAGAAGTTGTAAAGGCCACCACCCAAGTTAATGGGAGATACATATCAAGGGATGAAAGAGCAACTCTGGGTACAGTTCAGGGAGGACCCTGTGTGGCAGAGTTGGGCAGCTGTGCACTGGGAGTGGGGGGATATCTTAGGAGCATGGGCTACCAAGAGGCCACCAAGAGTGAACCGTTAGAAGGGAGACATTGGACATGAAGACCTGGGCGCCAGGGGACTGTGTCTCCTTTTGTGCCCTCAAACCATTCATTATCCTCAGAAAGACCTCTGTCCCCTGACCCAATTTTCTGGTCCTCAGTTTCTTCTGTGAAATGGGCATACAGAGCCCGTCTCAGAGGGCGGCTGTGAAAATAATAGAATCTGAGATTTTGTAATAGTAATGGCAGATATTTCAGCTCTGTGTGTGGGGGGGAGTGTTGTATGTATGTGTAAGTCTCACAACCATGCTGAGGGAGACAATGCTGTCATCTCCATCTTGAAAATGGGGAAACTGAGGCACAGAGAGGTTCAGAGCTTTCCTGGGGCCACTTCTCTGGGGAGCTGTATTATTATATCACTGGGACTCATCAGTCTGGCCTCAGAGTCTGCATGGGCCTTGAGCCAGTCCTCTGACTGGGATGTGCAGATCACACATGAGGTGATGCTCTTAAGATGCAGAATCTCCTCCTGTGGACGAGGGTGGGGCATGAGTTGTGTGTTTCTAACAAGTGCCTGGGTGCTGCTGCTGCTGGGCTGTGGGCCACAAGCCTTGAAACCTGGGCTTGGCGGATGATAGGGGCCGGCTAGACTCAGGCTGCTGCCTGTATTTCCCAGAGCTGAGGGTGGTTTTTACATTTTCAAATAATTGGCAGAAATTAAAAAGAAGAATAACATTTTATGACCCGTGAAAATAAGATTATATTACATTCAAATCTCGGTGTTCACAAATAAAGTTTTATTGGAATCCACACTCATCTGTTTATGTAGTATCTTTGGCTATGACCTGCAAAGTCTAAAATACATATTATCTGGCCTTTAACAGAAAAAGTTTTCTGACTCCAACTTGAAATTATGCTGCATAAATTAGGAATTATTTTACTTCCTTTCTCTGTTTCTTTAAAGCCTAGTCTTAGAAAAGATTCTAACACCATAATTTCTACTCAGACACACCTAAATCAATGTGTTACATTTTCTAGAGTGCTCTGCTCCCATTTTAAATTTGAATCTCATCTCATTGCTAGTAACCAAAAAGGAGGCTTGTTTCTTTGTCAAAGGACTTTAATCAAATGTAAGCAAGTACTGTCACAGATGTAGGCACCTTGTATGGGCATAGAATCCTCTGCTATCTGGAATTTATCACATGTTCCTACACTTAACTGTACACATCTGTTGTCCTTCAGTCTGTGAGGCCCTAGAGGCCAGACCATGCATGTTCACCTCTGTGTGTTATGGTGCCTGGAGCAGTCAATGTTGTTGAATTGCATTAGTTATAGACTCAGGACAAATGGACGGTGCAGATTTCGAAGATCTGCTTCAACCTTCAGAGGAGCCCTGCTACGAAAAGCCCAGGCTGCATCCACTCCTTTCAGTTGTTAAGGGGAGTAAACAAACACATAAACAGACGAACAAATGAGGCTGACCAAGTCAAAGACAGCTCTGCTCACAGCGATTCTGAGATGGGGAAACTGAGGCTTGGAACAGCAGTTGCATCTTGGCTAAACCCTTCCGTGACTGGAGGAACGGATGCAGTGGTCTGTCCCCCTTATCTGCAGTTCTGCTTTCTGCAGTTTCAGTTACCCGTGGCCAAATGTGGTAAAACTGAAAACATTAAATGGAAAATTTCAGAAGAAAACAATTCATAAGATTTAAATTGCGAGCCATTTGGAGTAGCATGATAGAATCGTCTGCCCGGCGATGTGACTCGCCCCTTTGTCCAGTGTTTCCCCACAGCACCTGCTCACTGCTTATTAGTCGCCTGGGTGCCGGACCGACTGCTGTGTGGTGCTGCAGTGCTTGTGTTCAAGTCACCCTTACTTTACTTAATGATGCCACATTCACGTAATTTTTATTACAGTATATTGTCGCAATTATTCTATTTTATTATTAAGTATTGTTGTTAATCTCTTACTGTGCCTAATGTACAAATTCAACTTTATCATATTATGTGCGTATAGGAAAAACATAGTATAAATAAGGTTCGATACTATCTGTGGTGTCAGGCACCCACTGGGGGCCTTGGGACAGGTCCATCTAGAATAACGGGCACTACTGTAACTGAACTAACCACAGCCTGCGGGAGGAACTGCCCAAGCTCAAGTCCTTTTAACCAGCTATGCAGGCCCGCACCTTTTAATAGGACAGCAGATGAACAGATTTAATAGGAACTCTGCATGCCCTTTTTATTGTGGAAAAATACGCATAAAACTTACCGTTTTAACATTTTTAAGGGTCTAGTTCAGTGGCATTAAGTACATTCATTTTGTTGCGCAATTGTCACCCCCTCCTTGCCCACAGCTCTTCCTCTTGCTAAACCGAGTCCCTGGAGCTGCACAACCACTCTCCAGTCTTCCTCCCCAGCTCCTGGAAACCAGCGTCCTCCTTTCTGTCTGGCTTAATATGACAATTCTAGGTACCTCATGCCAGCGGAATCATACAACATCTGTCTTTTTGTCACTAGCTTATTTCACTCAGTGTAACGTGCAGGGTTCATTCATGTCACAAGTGTCAGAATTGTTTTCATTTTTTAGGATGAATAATATTCTACTGTGTGTGTTACTGTGGTAACTACTTAGCTAATATTAATAATAGAAAGAGGGGCAAAGGGAAGGCCAGGCATTATAAGTGTGGCCATCTGGGCGACTTCACCAAGAAGCTGCAACTCTACACTCACCCCCCAGGGAGCCACAGGGCCCTTTTCTGCAAATCCCTGGGGGAAGGGGTCCAACAAAGGGAGATGGACAC